AAGAATTAGAACTTTTCTTTTTTGAAGAATATTTGCTGGCTATGGAAGGAAGGTTTTTGGTCCTTGGTGTGAGGGGGGAACATTTCCATTTTTAACCAGAAGGCTACGAGTCTTCTATACCTTTCCAGAGACATTCTTTCTAATGTCAGAACTTGCAGAAAATGCAATAACCTGATTAAAGTACCTTCAGGTTATTCGTAATTTTTCACTACTATAAATAGTGCTGCACAGAGCATCTTTAAGATACAGCTTTATGTACTTGCTCAAATTCATTTGTAGGATATCCTTGTAGGAGTAGGATGGATCTGCCTTTCATAATTCACAGACACTGCCTCTTGCCTTCCCAAAAGGCTGCATCAATTTACACCCCGTAACCACACCCATTTCCACTCGGCCTCATGTTGATCAGTATGGCTCAGTCTTTCTCATTGCTGCCAATCTGTTTAGTCAAGTTTCCAAGGTGGCGAATTGGGCTCAGAAATTCAGGTGTGGAAGCAGAAGGTAAACAGGAGTGGGGAGGATGTTGCATGTCAGGGACTGGAAGCAGCACCTGTGAGCATCCAGCACCAGATGCTGGAGACAAGGTGAAGCAGGGAGAGGCTCCTGATCTCAGGGATCAGGGCACACAGACACGTATGGAAGCCAGAATGTGATAGTGATTGACTGAGAAGAGGGTGAAAACAAAATGCTGCGGTCACTACAGATGCGTTCATCTGTAGCTAGAGCCTAAATTAGCTAGGACTACACATCAATCAGATCCTTTTACTGCAGATGCCAACGAAGAAGGCAGACTCACAATGGGTCTCGGTGCAACCGAATGGGCCAGGTATCTTTGCAGCCCAGGAAATAGTTTCACTAAAATTCCTAAAATGGTGGGCTTGAAGTGTTAAATTTCTGGAAAATTTGAAATGTGCAGAAAAGAGAAAATTGTAGCAGGGGGAAGGGGAATGTAATCTTCATTTTTCTAGCTCCTTTTATAAAGTTACATTGTTAAAAATATGGAATTTTACTTCCTCGTAACATGATCATATATGGCTATTAAATTTACAATAGAGCTTATTAATACAATGTGAATCATCCCTAGCTGAACTTCTTTTTTAAAATGCTTTAACATCTGCAGTTAACATTGCTAATCTTGCCCTGACTAGTGTGGCTCAGCTGGTTGGGCACCTGCCTGCAAAGCAAAAGGTCACTGATTCATTTCCCTGTCCGGGCACAAGCCAGGCTGTGGGTTCCGTCCCTGGTTGGGGCACCTATGACAGGCAACTGATCAATGTTTCTCTCTCACATTGATGTTTCTTCCCCTCCCTCTCCCCCTCGTTTCCCTTCTCTCTAAAAATAAATAAATAAAATCTTTAAAAAATATATAAAACTGCTAATCTTAAATCCACACTGTGTCTTGCCAATTAGGAGAAGTGACAAAAAACTAGAAATCATCATCAATATCCAAGGAAAATTAATAAAATAGTCGGGTCAATGGACTTATTGTCTGACCCTGTAAGGCTAGTTGAGTGGAATGGTGGAATATGTGGGGGAGGGAAAAAGTTTTTTTTCCCCTCCAGAAAAGTTGCTGGGAAAAATAAAAATAAAAGAGGAATTCTTTTCTTCCTTAGTTTCTTGAGTACAACTTATTGTAATGTGGAACCTGGCCTAAGGAAATACATTTGACTTGATTTCTAGTCATCCATCCATCCACACACCCACCCATTCATTCACAGTCAATAATAAGTAATAATTATGGAGTGTTTACTACATGCTGAATACTATTCTAAGTGTTTTACATGCATTATCTCAAAAATGTTCCCAACAATGCTATGAGTTAAGTGCTACTGTTATCCCCACTTTAAAATGGAACCTGAACATTTCCCCATAAGTTAAACATAGAATTCCCATGTGATCCAGCAATTCCACTCCTAGGTATATGACCAAAAAATTGAAAACAGGAGTTCAAGCAAAACTTGTACAGGGATGTTCATAGCAGCTCTGTTCACAGCACAGTAGAAAATGGTTAAAATGTTTCATTGTATGTTATATGTATTTAACTACAATTTTAAAAAATGTAATTTGAGCCCTGGCATAGTAGCTCAACTGGTTATGATACGCCAAGGTTGCAGGCTTGATCCCTGGTTAAGGCACATACAAGAATCCAGGACTGAATGCATAAATAAGTAGACTAACAAATCAATGTTTCTCTCTCTCCCTCTCTCCCTTTCTTCCTTCCTCTCTCTCTAAAAAAACCAATTAATTTTTTTTAAAAGAGTGTACTTTGAAGCTCAGACAATTCAGATTACTTACAGTTAATATGTAGTAGAGCCGTGTTTTAGTCTCAGCCATTTGGCTCCACTGCTCATGTTTTTAAAAAAAAATACAGGTGAAACTATTTCGGGGCCATTTAGGAAGTTTAGATACTTTAGAATAAGCTGAAAATATCAGTAGCGTAAGATGCTATTCATTAAGTACAGACTATTGAGAAACACTATTTTATCTAGTCTTCATAATGACTTTGAAAATTTGTATTACCATTTAGTTATTGTATGTGATAAAATACATGTAACATAAAATTTACCATTTTTAAGTGTACAATTCAGTGACATTCACTACATTTACACTGTGCAACCATCACCACCATCCATATCCAGAAATTTTTCATCTTCCCAAACTGAAACTCTGTACCCGTTAAACAACTCCACATTCCCTGCTCTCCCAGACCCTGGCCACCGCCATTCGACGGCTCATGGTACGGGGCCCAGGGCCATTGACTGAGGTTGCAAAGAAAAATAAGACATGCCTTTCCCCAGGTCTGTCTAGCATCAAAACCTGTGTTCCTGTCCTTTGATGACCTTGCCACTATGCCCCTCTTCATCCAGTAAGAGAAGTCCAGCTGTAGGACGAGAACGTTGTTGTTGAAGTGAACAGAGGAAATGCTTACGGCTGGGGAGTGGGAGAAGGAAGTCAGTGAATGGAATATGGTTGAGGTGAAAGGTGGGGATGAAGGGATTTCAACAGAGACACCTGTAAGTGAGGTTGAAGATGCAAAGAATTGGGAGCATGCTGCTTGCCTTCTCTTTATTTTCACAGGTTGTTCTGGGGAGTACGTAGGACTGTACCTGGGGATGTGCTTTGAAATGCCAAGGGTACTCTGCATACATACATCCTTAGGACTCCCACATCGCTACTGAAGAGGATTTGTTTGAAGGACATACTCATGAGAGGAGTTTCAATGGGGGATGCAGGTGACAAGATGGTTAGTGGGCACAGACCTGTCCTTCAAGGCATTGGGCTACAAAGGGGAGGGGAGAAATAGTATAATAGTTGGGACTTCAGGGTCAAGCAAAGGTCTCATAGGTATGGCTTTATTAGGTTTTTAATATTAAAATAGTAATATGTACTTAAAAAATAGACACAGAAATGGATTATCTGTGAAAATAATAAAGCTTAAACGTCATACCTCTCATTTACATGGGTTCCTTTTACGGTCATGTATCTACTTATGTAAAATGATTTTGCAATTTTAATTTTATATCTTTTTTCCCCAAAGAAAACCCCCCACATTATTTAAGTTTTAGGCTCCTCAAAATCTGGGCTCACTCCTACATAGAGGGCAAAAATCTAGGAAATCCTACCATGCAGATATAATCATGGTTAATTCTCCAGATTTCTTCCTGGGTGTGTATTAGACATTACTTCTTACAAAAATTAGATCATTACTAGGTACTAGTTTGCAACATGATTTCTTTCTTTTAAAATATTTGAGCCCTGCCCTCACCCCTTGCTTTATTTTGACCATAGAAACATTAGATTGAGTGATTTAAGTAGTTTACCAGGGGTGAAAAATAACAGACCCAAACCAAAAGGAGAGGGACAATACAGGTGGCACCAAGGCACAGGGAGAGGAGAGGGTGTGCAGACAAAGGCTCTCTGTTATAAATGTGCTGCCCAAGAGCCTGTCACTTGATATCACTTAACACAGTTGTAATTATACAATTATTTGTGTTATTTTCATTGACCTCTGTTTCCTCCATTACATTGTAAATGTTTTAGGATGGGGATGGTGGATACATAGTAGGTTTTCAATAGATATTTGTTGAATAGTTCCCTGAATGATTGAATGTCAAGAATTGAGTTCAAGGGAATACTAGATATAGAAATTAGTAGAAACTCAGTTAAGAATTTCGGGTGTCAGAGAGTTGTTGGGAAGGTGTGTTTTAGCACGGGTGTTGACGTACTTGAAGAACCAGTAAGGAATGGCCTTGTTAACTCAAGTGTACTACAGAATGGGCAGTTGTGGTAATTTAGAAAGGACAGTGTAAATTTAGAAAAAGAAGATGTAAGTTTGAATCTTATCATAGTTATGCTATTTTGGGGAGGTGGGTGGGAAACTCAGTCTTTTACCTGTAAATGAGGAGACAATCTCCTGTGGCTGTGAGATTCTAATAAGTCAACAGATGTGACAGTCCTCAACATAGCACCTGCTACACAGTAAATGCTCAGTAAATGACTTTTGATTCTGCGCAGAAACCTGGGAGTAGAGCAAGATGAAGCTAAGAGGGGCAAGGAGATTGCTCAGTTAAGCTAAGATTAGACTGAGTTCAATGAAGTATTTTGCATGGTTTGGGCTCTGAGACACATTACCTTCAGGGCAAAGCTAGCGGTTGACTTGAAAGTCCTTGGCAGAGGGGAAGGACGGGGTGTACAAGTAGTGTTGTCATTTCAAGGCTCTAGTCCACCCCTTAGCAGTGGTGAAAAAAGGTGGCAGTAGTGAAAACCAGAAGTGACCAGTGAGAGCCCTCTTCTTCATTTGGGGGGGACCCTAGTACTTTGTCACAATTACACATTGGAGATGACGGTGTGGATAGTATGAGTATTGGGGCAACAGGTCTTCACTTGCCTTCTGTTAACATGCAGGAAAGGCTTTGGTAACCAGTAATCATGCCAGAGAATCCAGAAAAGAACCATGGCCTAAAGACTGTAGGGTCATTCTGTTTTCCCTGACATTCACATTCCTTTCAGGTGTAAGACAGACCCAGGACAATGGCTGCTACTCATGATTTGGAGATGAAGGTTGTGACTGTGGATGGAGACATGGAAGAGGAGCTGGACGAAGAGAAGAAAATGAGAGAGGAGGGGGAAGATGAAGATCACTTCAAGAATAAAAAGGTCCACAAGATTGTCTCAAGATGGATGCTTCCTGAAAATGCCCGAAGAACATACTTGGAGAGAGCCAACTGCCTCCCGCCCCCCGTGTTCATCATCTCCATAAGCCTTGCTGAGGTGAATATGTTGGGTGGTGAGCACTAGCGCAAGAACCACCGGGAAACTGCAAACAAACGGAAGACTTAGATAATCAGATCTAGATCAGAGACTGGAAAACGTGTGAGAAGGGAGCTGGGTGGTGGCTAGTAACGCACACCTGGGACTCCACCTCTCCCTCTCCAGAGCTCTCTTCCCAGGTTTTTCCTATGTTTCCAGTCACTTTCAGCCAAGGATTAAGCATTATTTTTCAAACAAGTCCCCTGCCCAGCAGTGACTACGATTCCTGTGGCTTCATTTCATTTTAGGTGGTGGGGACTTTAGAAACCAAATAATCATGTGATTGCAAATCGGTTTGGTCTTATGAACCAACTTCAATGGGCTAGTAAGAGTTAGAAGAGTTACAGGTTGCCTCCAAATTTCAGCAGGAAAAAAACGGGATCCTCTAATGATGTTTACAATGGGCAGTATGGATCGTGTTTTCAGATTCTGATCTAGTCAGCCCTCTTGTTTTCCAGAAAAGAATGCAAGGCCCAGAGCTGTGAAATGACTTGTCCCCGGTCACGTACTTAATGACTGGGCCAGGACAGGGCTTCCTCTGAACCTCATCAAACCTGGCTTTTTCTCCCTCACCATGAAGTCTCATAAAGGAATCTGCAGAGGACTTCAGGGGCACTAGGAAGTCCCTAATGTAATCCTCTTAATTCCCACTGATGCCTCATCTTCCTTATCAGGGACTGTATTAGTCAGGGTTCCTTAGAGAAACAGAACCAATAGGATATGTACACACAAACATACACATTGTCCCTATCTATCTATCTATCTATCTATCTATCTATCTATCTATCTATCTATCTATGTATCTATCCACACACATATATTGGAAGGAGGGAAGAGAGAGAGAGATTAATTTATTTTAAGGAATTGGCTCATGCAATTGTCAAACTTGGCAAGTTCACAATCAACTCGCAGACTGGAGACCTAAGGGATAAGAGTTGCTATTGGAGTCCAAAGGCCATCTCCTGGCAGAATTCTTTTTTCCTCAGAGGAGGCCAGTTTTGTTGTATTAAAGGCCTGTAACTGATTATATGAGGCCCACTCACATTATGGAGGGTAATCTGCTTTACTCAAAGTCTGCTGAGTTAAACATTAATCACATCAAAAATACCTTCACAGAAACATCTAGAATGATGTTTGACCAGATATCTGGGTACTGTGGTCTAGCAAAGTTGATACATACAATGAACTATCATAGGGACGTAGCCTCTTATGGATTAAAGGTAAAGCTAATTAGTGTAAAGATTAGATTGTGCGGAGAAGATTTTGTCAAGGCTGTTTTTGTTGCAGGGACATAGGTCTAGATTTTCCCAAAGGGCTTTATTGTGAGACAACCTGCAACTAGAAAGCCATCAGAATTCTTTCTGCTTTTTTTCAGCACCTTATCTCATGTTATCCTTCCAATCTATAGATTGGCTGGCCTGTCCATGGTCCAATCAGGAGTGTGTGTGTGTGTGTGTGTGTGTGTGTGTGTATGTTTGGGTGGTGGTAGGGTTGGAGGAGAATGGGATAAGGTCACATGGTACAAAATATGACTGCCTAGACAGTGAGTTCTATGGACAAGGTGGTTTTCCACAGAAGGATCATGGGGCAGGTGCTGAGATATCTGCCTGTCATAGAAAGATCAACTTCTTTTTTATGAAAAATTATTTCCAATAAACTTTTTATTTTGGAATAATTTTACCTTTATAGAAAAGTTGCAAAGACAGTACAGAGAGTTCCTGTATACACATCACTCAGTTTCTCCCATTGTTAATATTTTATATTTTCATGGTCATTTGTTAAAACTAAGAAGTTCACATTGGTATATTGCTATTAAGTAATGTTCAGACTTCATTTGGATTTTCCTAATTTTTCCGTTAATCTCTTAAGGTCCCTCCTATACCCTCAAACCCAGGGGTCACACTGCATTTAGTTATCATGTCTCCTGTCTCTCTGATCTGTGACAGTTTCTCAGTATGTCTTTGTTTTTTGTGACTTGGATAGCTTGAAAAGCACTTGTCAGGTATCCTGTAGAATATTCCCCAACTGAGGTTTACCTGGTGTTTTTCTCATGATTAGACTGGAGGTGTGGGTTTTGGGGAATAACACCATAGGGGTGATGTGCCCTTCACATCACATCACATCATATTATGTCATATCATCAGGGACCAGGGGACAGCTACATGACATGCCTGGCGACATTAGCCTTCAACACTTGTTTGAGGTCATGTTGGCCAGTTTTTTCCACTGTAAACTTAAAGTTACTATTTTTTGTTTTTTCCTATCCTGTTCTTTGGAAGCCTGCAGTGACTCAATTTCATACTAAGTTGTAAATGAAAGACCAAATGGTGGGGGTAGGAAGATGAGAGTGGTGAGTATTTAAGAGGGAAAAGGAGTTCAGAAAGAGTCTTCTTTACAATTTGGTTTCGGGCTGCTCCTAGTCAGTGGAGGAAGTAGGATATGACTACAGTTAAACGGTCAGATAAACGGCAAGGAAATTTGATTCGGTCATCTTCTGAGCACATGCTATGAAGTGGCCTGCTTGAGAGCTAATCATCTGAAACAAAGGTACTGTCCATGGGCTTGAATGGGTCCTCTGCAGAAGGTATGGTTAACATTCACGTCTGCTCCTTCCTGTCAGCTGGCAGTGTTTATTTACTATGCTGTGTGGAAGCCTTATAAACAGTGGATCACCTTGGACACAGGCATCTTGGAGAGTCCATTTATCTACAGTCCTTTGAAGAGGGAGGAAGCCTGGAGGTTTATCTCATACATGCTGGTGCATGCTGGGTAAGGAATGACAGTTAAGTCACTGGTGTTGGAGGTGACTATAAGTGATTGGAACCCCTAACATTTGTTCAGAACTTTATGACTGATAAAGCATCTCATGTCCATAACCTTATATGATCATCACAGCACCCCTAGGAGACAGGTGTTACTCTCACCGTTTTATGTCTGAGGCTTAGGACAGGTAGTAATTTGCTCCTTGTCATACAGCTAAGTTGTGGAGCTAGGACCTCAACCCATTAGTGCTAACTCCAGGTCCACTGTACTTTATATTGCATTATAATGGTCTAATATTGGTATTTATATAGGAAGATTGAGAAGAGACCAAATCATTATCAAACCAAAAGTATGTTCCCCTAGTTGATGTTCTTAAATGTTCCCTTTAGGATATGAAACATCACTCCCACTCTTTCTGCCCCACCACACACTTAAAAAATAATTTACGAACATTTTGATGAGTGTATAATGCTGTTATCCACCTGGAATAATACAAGCCATAGGAGCTGCAGTGTCTGCCTTTTAGTGTTGCTTATAGTTTCTTAAATGCTAAGAGCGGTCTATGGCCTTGCTCAGAATCCACGATTTACCATGTCCGCTGCAGACAGTGCACAGTGTGCTGCTGGCCCCACTCTCTGGTGGACTCCGGGGGATTCAGGTGAGGCCAGCTTGGTCTAAGAGACCTCTGCAGCCCTCAACCTTGAAGGATGACTCTGGCCGGTGGGTAAACAGGCATCCATGGCAGGACACAGGGCTCAGGGCCTTGACAAGTCAGGGACAAGGTCATCAACTGCCCAGTTTCTGTGGATACTTCCACACTTTGGTTTTCCATTTAACAAGTGTGTTCTGAGCAAATGTGGCTTCTGCATTCCAGTGCTTTAAAAATGACAAGGAGGGAACAGTTTACTAGTAATGTAAGGCAGTACAGTGCTAAAAAGTAACACTTTTTGGATGCAAGTAACCAAAAAAAATTAACAGGGACTTAAAAAAATGGAGGTCAATTTTTTCCCTATATGAGAAGCCCAGAGGTAGGTGGTTGGTTTGTCAGTTTACTGAAGCCAGGACTCTTGGCCCTGCACTGGCACCTCTGCTTTGCCCTTAGCCTTTCTCTCATGGTTGCAAGTTGACTGTTGTAGCTCTGCATTCAAAGCAGAAAGCGGGGAGCAGTAATTCCAGGTCCTGGTGACATCATCCCTTTTGTTAAGACAGAAGCACTCCTAAGTCTCCCGGCAATGCTGCTTTTACTTGCATCTCGCTGGCCAGAACTATGTGCCCCAACCTAAGAGAGGTGGGGAAGGTCAACATTAGCTTTTCCAGCTTCACTGGAGGAGGAGGAGAAGGGATAGGAAATCGGTGTTGCATAAGCGACAGCAATACAAACAGAAAGAGGGAAAGATCAGAATGGGAATGGCTTCACAAATGATATGGATTCAAGGTGGGCACTTGAAGGGTAGATAAAATTTGGAATAAAAAATTAGTATTTCTGGTCTGAGAATATGATGGGATCTCATCTGTCTGCCACTTTGACTCTTGATGTTGAGCAGAAGAGATCTTAGGGTGATGCGCTGGGGTTTTTGTGCTATTGCTCATCTTGTCTTCCAGCTGTTGCCGGAGAGATGGATGAGATGGCTTTCTTTGATATTGTTGTTCCGATTCACAAAGTGCACATATTTCCAAATCCCCTTTATGCCTGAGGTCTCCATAAGACTAGTGTAACTGTCCTTGCTACACAATTCTGTGCGGAATTATGTTACCTCTCATATGACTTTGAAGTGGGCTTGGATAGTGAGCTGTGGCTGGGTGTGCACGTGGCCATAAAGGTAAGTCATCTGTGCTGCCAGGTGTGCCCAGAGAACCTCTTCACTGGTCTGCTGGGTATTTATTAAGGAGATTGTAATGTAAAACACAATCCCTAGAACTAATATGAAAGCTGTTGCACCTTGTGGAAGGTCCAACACCGATTTTTTTTTTAACTTTTTGGTTTAACCTAGAATCTTAAAAAAAAAAAAAAAAAAAAAGCATTGTGCTGCATAGCAAGTAAATTGAGGATTACTCTCATGTGGGAATTTACCAAATTACATTCAGAGATTCTCCAGAGATACTTGTAGGGTTTGACAAGCAAAATAATGACTTTTATTTAAAAATATTTTTTTTACCTATTTAAGAACTATAATAAAAACATCTATACTCAAATATATTACATGCTAAATTGTAGTACATGGGAGATACCAATTTTAGACAGTGTTACTAAGTAAATTTATTTTTCCATTCTTGTACGCTTTTTAAAAAAACTTTCAAATGTAGAACTGGGAATGAAGTTCCTCTGGCCATCTGTTTTATGAAAGAATATTCTGAGAAAGCAAGACAAGTTGTTTAGAAGCCTATTGAAATTTGAACTCCATTTGAGTGAATCAGGATTTTCTAAATACTGTGTGATCTTAACAAAATCAAATGCTGAAGTTGACAGAAGCTGCCAATTGTCATCTAAGCCTAATTTCAAGTTTATGTTCCTTAGGCAATTCTCATTGCTCTCTGGTGTTATATCGGTGATTGTTATAAAATAGAACTTATAAAATAAATGTATACTTCTAAAATGCTCTTTCACCTGCTAAAAAAATTAGAAAATGAAATTTGAGTTAAGCAATTCCATACCTAGGAACAATACCTCAATGCCTATTAATCTCCCAAGGAAATAATGGCCTGAGTCAGCCCTAATATCTGACAAACGTGTTTGTCTCTGCAGAATTCAGCACATCGTGGGGAACCTTACTATGCAGCTCGTTTTGGGTATTCCCTTGGAAATGGTGCACAAAGGCCTCCGAGTGGGGCTGGTGTACCTGGCAGGAGTGATCGCAGGTTAGTGGTCTGAGGCAAACGTGACATCAACACCGTTGGGCTCTGAGGAGGTTATAAACAAAACAAAGGTAATACACTTTGATAATGGCTTCTTATTTAAGAGGTTGTACTCCTAATATGTGCTAGGAAACCTGACAAGTACTGGAGGTAAGTTAATTAGAGATACTGGAAATCAGATGAGCATATAGAAATAAGTCATTGTGACTATCCTCAGGGATCGCACGGTCAGACAGGGTTTTGCACAATTGAAAAGTGTGAGTAGGTTGGGGCTCAGGTGTGTACACTGGGTAAAGGCCTAAAGACAGATCATGAAGGCCCTTATGTGTCAGAGTAAAGATTTTGGGAAGTAACATGATGAAATTTGCATTTAAGAGAGAGAACTTCAAAAGAATGTAGGGAGTAGTTAAAGGGGGCTAAAGACTGAGTAGGTACTAGCAGCATACAGCAGGGATCTCTAAAATTATGTGTGCTTAAGATGACTCATTATGGTGTGGACAGAAAATATTGGAACGCCTATCCATCCACTACTTGTTGGAAACATTTTTTAAAAAAGTAAACTTTATTTTGAGATAATTATAGATTTGCACTTTAGTTGTAATAAATACATACCTAGAGATCTCATGTACCCTTTAACCAGCTGCTCCCAATGGTAACAACTTGCAAAACTATAGTACTGTACCACCATCACGATATCCACATTGAGAGGGTCAAGGTAGAAAACATTTCCAGCCCCCGAATCTGTACTCTCTTCCCTCCCTTCCTGACACTCTCCTTTACCTTGGCAACCAGTAATCTGGTTTCTATTTCTGTAGGGGTGGGCATAAGTAGTAATGCAAATTACATTATTTAGTTGTAATGCAAATACATAATATAACAATTAATAAATAATAATACATGAATAAACTGTTTCATGTACTCAACTATAAACCTACTTTTGCTCCCCCCTGTATGATTTTCTCACTTCAAGAATGTTTTATAAATGAAAGAGTGAAGTAGTTAGCGTTTTGGGATTTGTCTTCTTCACTCAGTATAATTCTCTGAAGATTCATGTAGGTTGTTACTTGTATTAATAATTCATTCATTTTTATTGCTGAGTAGTAGTCTGTGGTATGGATGTACCATCCGCCCTTCAGTCACTGGAGTGTATCTGGGTTGTTTCCAGTTACACATAAAACTGTTATAAATGTTCATGTACAGGCTTTTGTGAATGTAAGTACAGTTTTATAAGCATGAGTTTTCATTTCTTTAGAATAAATGTCCAAGAGACAGATGCTGGGTTGCATGGCAGTTGCATATTTAGTTTTTCAAGAACCAGCCAAATGTTTTCCAGAATGGCTATTTCATTTTACATTCCTCCCAGTGTTGTATAAGGGATTCAGTTTTCCACATTTTTACCAGCACTCAGTGTTATCACTATTTTTTATTTTAGTTGTGCTGCTCTTAAGTTGGCAGTGCTATCTCATCGTGGTCTTAATTAGCATTTCCCCAGTGGCTAATGATATTGAACATCTTTGCATATACTAATTTGCCACCCATATCCCCTCTTTAGCGAAACTGTTCATGTTTTTGCCCATTTCCTAATTAGATATTTTTTTCCTGTTGAATTTTTAAACTTCTTTATATATTCTAGATCCTAGTCTTTGTTGAAGTTTACAGATACTTTCCCTCAGTCTGTAGCTTGTCTCTTCCTTGTCTTAACAAGGTCTTTCACAAAGCAAAAGGTTTAATTTTGATAAAGTCCAGTTTATCGTTTTTTGCTTTATGAACGTGCTTTGTGTAAGAACTCTTAGATATGTCTAAGAATTCTTCACTGAGCCCTAGGTTTTAAATATTTTCTCCTATGTTATCTCCTAAAATTATTGTTTCCTTTTCTATTTTTTCTTTTTTTTATTGTTACTCAAGTACAGTTGTCTCCTTGTTCCCGCCACCACTTTCCCCTGCCCCACCCACCCCACCTCCCACCCTCAGTCCTACCCCGCTTTGGCTTTGTCCATGGGTCCTTTCTACACGTTCCTTGACGACCCTTCCCCTCCTTTCCCTTGTTAACCCTCCCCCCTCCACTCTGGTTATTGTCAGTTTGTTCTTTATTTCAATGTCTCTGGTTATATTTGCTTGCTTGTTTTTTGTTGATTAGGTTTCACTTATAGGTGAGATCATATGGTTATGTTTTATGTTTTACCTTTAAATATGTGATCCATTTGAGTTGGTTAATTTTTATATAAGGTATGAGGTTTAGATTGAGGTTCTCTTTGTTTGCCTACTTGCCTATAGACCTCTAATTACTCCAGAATAGTCTGTTGAAAAGACCATTCTTCTTTCACCGAATTGCTTTTTTACCGTTGTCACAAATCAGTTGGCTGTGGTCGTGTGAGGCTATTTCTGGGTTCTCCTTCTCGTTCCTTGACTGCTGTGTCTATCCCTCCACATAGTCAATACCTCTGCCACTATACAAGGTTTGAAATTAGAGTGATTCCTCTCATTTTTTGCCCATTAAAAAAAATAAAAAATAATTAGTTATGCATTTTACTTTTACTAAAACATGGGTATCTAATTTTCTGGCTTCTTTTTTTCTGTGACAAGAAAAGGCTTTTTAGTAGTAAGCTATCTAACAGATGTTGAAAAAACAAACACAAAATGTGTCCCTTCAAGGACATATCATTTTTTTCCCCCCAAGGAATAAGAATGTAACTGCTTTTCCAAAAATACTCATGCTATGAAAAGGGTATTTTGGAAACTGGTTATTGGAAATCATTCCATGTTTATGCAATTTTGCTTCTGAAAATGATGCAAAAACTCTTATTCACATTTAGAAAGATGGGAAACAATTTCTTAATCTGTTCTAAAATTTCTCAGTGAAGAGTTTTAGTGCATTTTAAATTTATTTATGGAAACACTTTCTGATTAGTTTGCAAGAACTGACGGACTTAGGAATGGTGAGCATTAATAGCCAAAATTATTGCAATACAACAGTATTTTTGCAAATTGGAGTAAGCTCAGCCAATGATACAATTCTTCCATTTTAAATTAAACATCATTTAAAAAAATTTATATTTTGGTTATGACAGTAATTAAAAGAAAACTTCTATAGAAAAATAACCAAATTTAAAAGTATACAGTAGTCCCCCTGTATCCACAGGGGATATGTTCCAACCCCCAGTGGATGCCTGAAACAGTGGATAGTACCAAAAACAGTGTGCGTATGTGTGTGTGTGTGCTGTTTTTTCCTGTACATACATACCTATGATAGTTTAACTTATAAATTAGGCACAGTAAGCCCTGGCTGGTGTGGCTTAGTGAATTGAGTGAATTGTGGCGTGCGAAGCAAGGGGTCACTGGTTTGATTCTCAGTTGGGGCACATGCCTGGGTTGTGGGCCAGGTCCCCAGTAGGGGGTGCACAAGATGCAACCATACATTGATGTTTCTTTCCCTCTCTTTCTCCCTCCTTTTCTCTCTAAAAGTAAATAAATAAAATCGTTTAAAAAATTAGGCAAAGTAAGATATTAACAACAATAACTAATAAGGAAATAGGACAATTATAACAATGTACTGTAATAAAAGCTATGAGAATGTGGCCTTTTGACATATCATATTGTGCTCTGTGATACGCTGGACAAAGGGATGATTCATGTCCTGGGCTGGATGGAACAGGATGGTATGAGACTTTATCACGTTACACAGAATGACACTCAATTTAAAACTTGAGAATTGTTTATTTCTGGAATTTCCCATTTAATATTTTTAGACTGCACTTGACCACGGGTAACTGAAACTGTGGAAAGGAAAACCACGGATAAGGCAGGGTGGGGGTGCTATTGTATCTGTATTTCTGTGTCATGAAATTTAACCAGGATTTGAAACAATAGTGAAACTGATTTAATAACACTGTTCATTGAAAGGTTGTTTTTTCTTTTAATTAAAGATTTTTTTAAAGAGCTGTTTTAGGATCACAATAAAATTGAGAGAAAGGTAGAGGTTTTCCCAAACACCCCTGACTCCTATACACATGCATAGCAAACCAGAACTTCATTGTCTCACAGTTCTGGAGCAGAAGTCTGAAATCAAGGTGTCAACAGGCAATGCTCCCTCCTCTGATATCGGTGGGGGAGACGCCTTCCTTCCCTCTCCCTACCTTCTGGTGGCGGCCATCGGTCCTCAGCATTCCTTGCCTTGCAGCTGCAGCACGTCAATCTCTGCCTCCATTGTCATGCGGCATTCTTCTCTCATGTATCTCTGTCTCTTCTTATAAGGCCACAGTCATATTGGTTTAAGGGTCCACAATACTCCAATATGACCTCACTGTAACTAATCACATCTGCAAGAATCCTATTTCTAAATAAGGTCGCATACTGGGTGCTACAGTTTAGGACTTCCACATACCACAATCGGATCCATGACAATGCTCGAAATTTTTTTACCAATCAAAATTTTGCCAGCCTCCTAGAACAGTGGGATGGAGAGCAGAAAGCAGTCACGAGATAGATTTGGCAAGGTTTAGTGACGGCTCCCCATCCTATTTCCCTCCCACTTTTGTGAATCCTGTTCTTCCACCTTCTGCTTCTATTCCTGCACACATCTTTTTCCTGACCTTTTGTGATCGTCAGGCTTTGCCTGGCTCCAGCATCTACATTCCTTTTCACCCACAGCTTGATTTCAACCTGTGGAATCAGCTCTGCCCCAATTCCAGAGAAAGAGAAAACATGAATAACCTGTTCAGAGCCTTGCCTATTTTTTGCAATAGCTTTTTGGCAGCCGTCTTTTCCCTGTTCTGGTCTATCCTTCACACTGCTGCCTGGGTCCCCTTCCTCAAACACAGCTTAGGTCATAGTTTGTCCTTCTTAGGCGATTTTGAGTGGACAAAAGAAAGTTGAAATGTCCAAGATTGCTTTTCATTCCCCTTCACTGCGTGGGCCCCTCGCCTTTCTTTTCTTTCCTCCCTTCCTCCTCCTCTTCCTCCCCTCACTGCCCCCATCTACTCCCTCCCCTGCTCCTCCATCCTTCC